GTATTTAGCTGCATCTACTAGCGTATTTAGCTGCATCTACTAGCGTATTTAGCTGCATCTACTAGCGTATCTAGCTGCATCTATTAGCGTATTTAGTTGCATCTACTAGCATATTTAGCTGCATCTACTATCATATTTAGCTACTTCACTGACTTTGTTCTTCTTTTGGTGAAGCGATGAACAACCTGAAAAGCTCTGAGGCGTATTAGTATCTACACAGTAATAAGGTTAGTGGTGTTTCATTAAAAGAGGTGGCCCATGATCCTACTTACTTTAAAGCAGACATAGAGACCAGCCAAAGACAAAGTCCTCCATCACTGATCTTGAATTAATTACAGAGAAAATCAAAATACAGAAGACGAACAAATACTATGATGCTGTGACCTCCATACACTTGAAATCATACCTGATGTTCTCGTCACGGTTTTCAATCCTTCTGAGGATCCAGCGTCTCTTCTCCGATGGTTTTTTGTAGTCCAGACACAAAGTAGGATGCAGGTTTTCCTCTGTTGGCCATTTGTCAACAAAGTGAAATGAGCTCACGCAGCGTTTTTGGGTGGTCTCTTCAAGTTCACATTTTTCAGCCACATTTATCTTAATTCCTCATCTGTAGTGAGGAGATGGAAACTACTGGATTTTTCGCTGTATAAGTCGTACCTTTTTTGCATAAATTAGCATCCCCTGCAACTTATAGAGCAAAGTGACTTGTTTATGTTTTCCCCCATTTTTATAAACCTGTTGTTGGCTGAGATCTGACTATTTCATTCATTCTGACATGGAGAATATTGAACACTACCATTTTCAGCCTCTAGAGGGCTCTTTACTAATATGGCAAGCCAAGTGTCTCATTAATGGGTAAAAGTAGTTATTAATGAGACACCTGTCTTGCCGTACAAAGCCACCTTCGTCTTGCGCCGGAACTCATGGAGCAAACGTCAAATCAGCTGCATTTCTTCTGGGCGGCGCAGCGAAATGCAGCTGGTTTGACCGTCAAAGTGCATTTATTAAGGAAAAGTTCAACTGAGAGACACCTTTGCTATAA